ACAGGCATGAAAATTTGTAAGACCTTACTACAGGCATAAAACGACTACGGCCAAACACATACGACTACGGTCAAAACGGCTGCACCATCCAAATTAACGCGACTCGGGGACACCCGACTGTCACTAACAAAATCGCACGCCATTACTTCGAATATATTTCGAAAAGAACCGGTTAAAACAGGCTTCCCTCAACAGGCAAACAAGCTTCGACCATGTCAGCTCCAAATCACAAGGTTTCAAGCTACCCAACCTACGAGCTAAAAACCTTCCGAGGTGCTCGAACATCACCGCTAACGACTTGAAATCGAGGTTCTTCCTAAACCAACAATGGGTCAGGCAAAATCATTTTAAAAGGACCTTAACGAGAGGAAAACAAAGCCTACAAAATGCCCACGGGCAAAAGCGTAAGAGCCACTGTCGCCAGCCAAACGATCCTCCGGGCCGCACACTAAAAGTTCTCAACGACCAAAGAGCGTAAGAGCCACTGTCGCCAACTTGAAAATTGAAAACTTGAGGATTAAAATGAGCTCGAGTCGTAACCCGATTCAGAGACCGGATCCAAAATAGTTAACTACACATGCCTAAGGGCACAGCGTAAGTTCCATTGTCGCCAACCAAACGAGTCTCCGGGCCACACACTCAAAAGGTCGTTTCGACCCAAGGCGCAAGAGCCATCATCATCCGCCCATGCAGGCACGAAAAAGCTTGAGGGTCAATTGAAGCTCGAGTTGCAACATGACTTGGAGACTGAACCCAAAAACAGGCAAAATACTAATACCCAAGGGCAAGGGATGAGAGCCATCATCACCCGACCGTGCAGGCACATGAGATTGAAGATCGAGTAGGCTCGAGAAAAAACTCGACCCGGAGACTCAACACAAAACAATTGGGCAAAATTGCAAGAGCTCTTGCGGCAGTTCACACTGAAGGCCGCATCGACCAGCCGTGTGACAACTCTCAAGCCAGCCCGAACGGGCCACGGCGCTATATCGCGGGTCTAAGGTTCTTTCGCCAATTCTTGCTGAATTCAAAGTAGAAAGGGGAATAAGGGAAACAAAGCCGCAGGATTCTCTTTATACATATGCCAAAATAAAAGTACTATGTACAAATAGGGAGATCGACAGGAAAGAACAACAAAGATCCTAATCTATTGCCGAACCGGCAGCCTCAATAGCTCCCCAAGGGTTGCACCCAGGCAATTACGAGTCCCCCGACGGCCCCTTCTCAACGGCGTCCTCTCTCCGGGGATCCACCCCCATTTTTAAACACTACTCGAGCTGCCTTCCAATGCGCCCCCAATGGTCTGCTTTCGGGAACTCGGCCAGGCACGATTCGCGGCTCGAGGTAAAGTCGGGCCAGCCCCCTCAAACGTCCTCTCAACGCAAGAATCTGTGATGACTGCTCCTCCCCCATGCAAAGATACAAGCGCCTCGGCCTCAGCTTTGATCCGAACTAATGCGGCCACCAGTTCGGAATGGAGGCTCTTATACTTGTCACTATCCTCCTTCTCCTTCGCGTCCTGGAGTTGACGCTCGATCAAGGTAACTCTCCCCTGAAGGTTGTCCCTCTCGGAAGCCATCTCGCTCACGTGCCGACTAAGCTCGGAGATTTCAGCATCTCTGGCCCGAAGCTCCCCTCTCAGCAGGGCATTCTCGTTCTCAAACTACAAAAATCAAGGCCCGAGAAGTTAGAAGCAATGAAATCTCACAAGGGCTCAAGTAATAGTAAAAACAAGGGATGAATAACCTGCTCGGTAAAATAGGCTTTCTCGCGTTCGCAACGGCTCACCTCATCCTGATACTGGGCGAGAGCCTGGTTATAAAGCATTTTTGCCTGAAACCATATAAAGAGACAAGTTAGAAGAACAAAGGCCGGAGCGGCCCAAAGCGGCGAACAAGGTTAGCAGGAGTTACCCGCTCACAAAGTCTGCCCATCTCGCCAAAAATGGATGAAGCATCGACCTCAGAACTACCCTCGAGAACGGTCGCCGGCCTCTCGAGTGCATCTCCGCCTTTGACCAATGCTCCTGCCTCAGAAGGCTCCTTGCGAGGGGAATCTTGCACTTCGTAAGATGGAAGGATCTCCCCTTGAAGAGAATCGACAACAATCAACGGGCTAGCAGGGTCAGCCAAAATCTCCGTCCATTGTTCACCTTGGGTCCCAGATCGAGGCCCCTCCGAACTGCCTGCGAAGGGCGTCCCAGCTCGAGAAGAACTCCGGCCACCTGCCAATTCAAGGGCAGTGCTCGATACCCCATCCATTGCCTCACCGCCACGAAGTTGGGCCACGACGGCATCAGACTCCTGTCCGGGAACATCCATCCCCACGGCCCGAGGATCGATCAAGTCCAAACGCTCTTCGGGAGTTGCCGGGAAGCTGCTTTCTCCCTCACCTTCAGCACGGGGATTTCCCGTCGCCTTGGAGGACGGAACTGCTGGGTCAACCTTAGAATCCTCCACCTTGGCCCTTTTGGGCTCCGGTGGCCCAACGGATAGACTCCCTGCCTTTTCTTCTCCTCGCCAAACACCAGAGCGTCCCCTCCAACGGACGGTGCCTCCCTCGTCAATGGGATTTCTCCCAGACCTACATGGATGCAGAGGTTAAATGCGAAGGATGGAGAAAGCTACTAACAGCAAACTGCGTCAAAAATACACGGATGCATCAAGGCTCGAGGCTCACCATGGTCTTTGGCTTCCCACCGAGCTCGGGATAAATTTCACCACGCTTGTTCGATATACGGACAAACTGAGTATAAACGACCAACCCAACCTTGGAGATCCGACACCGCGCCAGGGTAGATCGCTACGGCTGAAAAGACAAGAAAAACAGAGTTAGACGCATAGGGAAATATCGCCAAGAAGGAGCAAAGACACCACGTTTACTTATGCCCGACGTTCCACTTTTCAGGGAATGACATCTTATCCACTGGAATCAGGTCAGACGTCCTCACTCGGACGAATCGGCTTAACCATCCCTCGTCCCCGAACTCCTCGATGCAGGCAAAAAGGGATCTCGGGGCTCGGCAACGAAGCTTGATTAAGCCCCTGCGAAGAAGTCGGGGACTATACATCCGGATTAGATGGTTCAGGGTGAAGGGCATTCCCTCTATCATGCTCGAGTAATGCCTGATCATATAAACCACGCGCCAGAACAAAGGATGAACTTGACCCAAAGTTACCTGATAACTCCGGCAGAAGTCGAGAATCACAGGGTCGATCAGGGGCGAGGATGACTCCACCGGCCCCAAGGTGAATGGGTAAGTATACACACTCAGAAATCCGGCTCATAGTAATATCTTCCTCCCGAGCGGGAATCTCCATGAGCACGGTATCCCCCCAACGACAGTCGGCCCTTACTCTTTCGATATCCGTCATAGAGCTGATATACCGAGTTACAGGCTCGCGGCGCCCTGACTTCGAGGAAAGTCTCTCGACCCTAAAATCAGAAGTCATCACAAGGATCCTGGGACACACTCCTCGACACAGGGGGAAGTGGCCCGCAACCTCCTGGGAAGCAGAAGTGGAAATTTTCGCCATCCTTGAGAGAATCTGAAGGAAGAAGAAGAAGTGGTTGCGTTCTTGAAAAAGAGCAAGAACGAGGGAAAAATAGACCTTACTAGGGGGTTTTTGGCACGAGATGGAGTCTAGAAAGGAAGAGGTGAGTATTTATAAAAGCGTCGTGGATACATTGAAGGAAGCCAACCGCCGCAGTCAATGCGAAAAACCTGCAAGGACAGCACGCATGGTGCACCTTGGCATCTCGTAGCCGTTTGCAAGAACACCAAAGGAAGCAGGAGTTCAGGACCGTTTCTTATCATATCCTGCCGCTTTCACTCTAAGAAACGCGGAGACTATCTGTATACGGCGAATCAGGGGCCCGATTTCCCTGTCATAGGGTCGTCTCGCGGTCATGCTCCTCGAAGCTAGAAGCCAAGGTCGAGACTCACCCTCGGGGGTCGTCAGGTATCAGTCCGGAGGGCATCGCGTTCCAACAGCTATAGTGCACTACAACAGGCGAGAGGGGAGTTCCCAAGGCACGCGGCTTAATCTGACAAGGCTGACCTATCCGGGGCCCATTTCGAGATGTCACATCCAGCCATCCTATCTCCACGCCTTCACAGTTACCACATTTTGTACTATAGTGGATTTCCCTCCTATATAAAGGGGATCCCCATTACTTTGTAGTCTCTCGGCTGACGTTGCTCCAACTATTCTCCACAAGATCAATAATATCTCTCTCTCTCTCTTCTCTCTAACTTGCTCGTTCTTATTAGCTCGAGGCCACTCTTAACGTTTATTGCTTTCATACTTGTTCTTCATTTATTGTTTGGTATTGGCCATAAAGAGCCTTGCTTGATCATATCTCAACTGTTATCCCATCCCCGACTACCCCTAATAGCTCGAGACCGAGCCGGATATCAGCCCCGAGGCTCCTTCATCGACCAGTCCGAGGCTCGGGCGACAAGCCCCTGGGTTTGATTACTGCCCCGTTTCAGCTTGTATCTCTTCATTAAACTTCATACTCTTAGCTTCAACTGCTCTAACAACTAGCATAAAAATAGATCACGTATTTCCCGCCAAACACTTTTTTAGCAGTTGATTCAATAAAATTTTGAGCTTTCATAGCACTCCAAATCCAGATGCTTCAGCTTGTATTTAACTGATATTTTGGACCAGAATCAAGTGAATACAGTGCAGGAATACTTAGGCCATTCATCAAATTAATTTAAACAGTAAAGGGTGTCTATCTCATCATAAATTAGATTGATTCAGTTCAATAAAATCTTAAAGTTACTAAGTAAAAGATTATGGTGCACTTGCCTGACAAGAAGTGAACACAACTCTCCAGTTCTATGCTCAATTACCGTAATCACATTACATATGAAAATAATGAATCATCACTGTCTTTAATTATCAACTTAATGAACCACGATAAAAGAAAAAAGAGAATCAACCACAGGGATCACACTATCTAAATCTCGAAAATCATACTTTACATACCTGAAATCATGGCATTATAAGCAACACTATCTTTACATAGTATTCCATCAAACAAAATCCTTCCTTCCTCCACCCGTCCCTCCTTGCAATACCCAATTACCATAGCTGTAGTCGCAACAACATGCTTATTCTTAGCTGGCATCTTTTCAAACAACTCTTTTGCCTTATCGAAACACCCGTTCTCTACATACCCATTAATCATCACAGTCCAAGAAACCTCATTTTTTTGTGGCATACGGTCAAAAAGTGACTTTGCCTTGTCAATCTCACCTTTCTGCGTATACCCATCGATCATTGCAGTATAAGAAATCACATTCTTTCTAGGCATCTCATCAAACAACCTCGCCGCCGCCTCCACCATACCATGTTTAACATAACCCGAAATCATTGCATTCCACGATGCAACATTCTTCTCAGGCATAGTGCTAAAATATAAGTAAGCATCATCAATGCTATCATTTTCCACGCAACCTGCGATCATAGAATTCCAAGACACTACAGTCCTCTCAGGCATTGATAAAAACAGTTTCTTTGATTCACTGAGACACCCATTTTGCCAGTAGGCTGTAATCATTGAATTCCAAGAAACAACATCTCTGTGTAACATTTCATCAAACACCTTCTGAGCAGATTGGAGTTTACCTTCTCGTGCCAGCTCATTGATCCTGATGTTGCAGTTGTAGACAACCTGAGGTGATTTGGAGGGTTTGCTCGTGCGGCGGGAAATATAACGTTCAAAGCTATGGCAGCAAGGGAGGTTTAATGGTATGAAAGTTTTGAGCTTGTAGCTCAGGAAATGGCGAACAAACATTAAAGATAAGGATATATGTAGAAATGTTGAAATGGAACCACCTATTGCATGGGGCAGCAATTAATCAGTAGTATATTTGGGCTAATTAATCAGCTCTTTAAGCCAGTTGGTACTGTAATTAGGGGAAAAATTTGAAGGACAAATATCACTCAAGTTAATGAGATAGAGGCGTTGTTTTGTATTTTTTTGGCTTAAGAACTTTTGGCAAAAGTCCTATAGAGTTATCAATCTGGTATCCTTGAAAGTAACTTGAAATTCTTACAGCTTGTTTGGATGGTTGATACCTATGGTTTCATAACATATCGTACCTTATTGTAATATATTGTACTGTATCGTATGATGAATATAACATTTGGATAAATTCTATTGTTTGTCAATCACTCTATGATATCTCGCACCAGCAATGCTCAAACTCTCTTTTCAGAGTTATTCTTTTCCCCAAAATCCGTGGTACATCCTATATACTTTACGTCATCTATAGGAGTACTACTACGGGCTCTTGGTAGTTTATGGTTCTCAAACCCGTTTCTGTGAGTTTATTTGATTCAGGAGACACTCATATTGTCAATAGACTGTAATCGTTGAATTCCAATAAACCACATCTCTCTCGGTAACATTTTATCAAACACCCCGCGCAGATTGGAGTTTACCCTCTCGTGCCAATGCATTGAGATCTTGATGTTCTAGCCTTGTGCCTCCAAGGATAGAAAGTAAGAGCTTGTGTCCTCCTATTTAAGATAATTCCAATTCTACAGAAAATGAGATTTTCTGTAGGATATGACTTATATGGATGTTGTGTTTCTTTGGCACTCCTTATGACATTGCCACACAGCAAAATAGTGCAGTTTCATTCTCTGCATAGTCCTACGCTCAAACTTCCCCGAGTATAAGATAAAACAAAAAACATATGTACCATCTACCTTTGGGATAATTTTGTACACGTCTACAATTCCACTCATATGTAACACCTACACCTACACCTACACCTACACCTACCTTTGGGATGATTTTAAACAAATTTCAAGTGCCACACTCACAGAGACGTGGATAGCACGAAGTTAGCTCTCAGATTTAAGAGCCTGCCAGATATGTTGCGTAGGTAGATTTTATGAATCCATCTCGTAAGAATTAGGCTAAGAGAGTCCAATACTTTGCGCATTAAGAAATGATGACAAGGCAACTTATTATAAAAAGGGTCAACTGAGGATCCCTTTGACATGCTTTTAAAGAAGCTACATGGACAAAAAACCCTTGTGCCAATGCCACGTTCGACTATACCAGGAAAGTTGCAACGACCAATGCATCAGCACTCTTAAGGCGTCGGATGCCTCTGCCAATGTCAACAAACATTTAACACCAAACTCCAATTTGGCCCTAAAAATATCATTGCAATGCTAACAATAAGACTATGAAGTGAAAGATAAGATGCAAATACCAAACAGTTGAACTAAACATTAGATGCAAATTCTGAAACGTGTTCAACACCAGTGGTGTGACAACAAAACATTAGAAAGATTCAACAAATACTATGCTTCTCCACTTCCCAAAACAGAACAACAATTACAGCACACCTCCATCCACCACACAAAATAAGATCAACATAGCATATCATCCCTATTACTAAATTTTAATACCATCATTGTCTTATAAAAAAAAAAAAAAGATCTAAAAGCACCACCAAAGCTACCACACTTGATCAAATTAAGCACGCTCGCCCCTGATACGCCTAGCAAGCTGAATGTCCTTTGGCATGATAGTGACACGCTTGGCATGAATGGCACAAAGATTTGTGTCCTCAAAGAGACCAACCAAGTAAGCCTCAGCAGCCTCCTGCAGAGCCAACACAGCATGACTCTGGAAACGCAGATCAGTCTGAAACCAAAGAAGCCACACAAACAACCAGTCAATCACCAAGTAAACCATTAAAGCTACATCCCAAGACAACATAGCAATGTAGAATCAAAAACAGATTATAAACCACCACCATATTTACCTTGAAATCCTGAGCAATTTCACGAACAAGCCTCTGGAATGGGAGCTTCCTGATCAGGAGCTCAGTACTCTTCTGGTACTTACGGATTTCACTGCAGAATGTAAGAAAGAATAATTGATCATATGCAAATTGGGCATACACAACTCGTATTTTACACAAGATGTAACTTACCGAAGAGCAACAGTACCAGGGCGGTATCTATGAGGCTTTTTCACTCCACCAGTAGTAGGAGCAGACTTACGAGCAGCCTAATTCAAGTACCACACAAAATTAGCTACCAAACAGAACATAAGGTTACAATTTCATATACAAACATTTTTAAGGAAAAACTGACCTTAGTAGCAAGTTGCTTCCTAGGTGCCTTTCCTCCGGTAGACTTACGAGCAGTTTGCTTGGTACGAGCCATCTGAAATGCCACAACCAACAATTTAACATAACTAAAACAAAAGGTTCAATTTTCCCTAATAACTTGAACTATAACACAAAAAACTCCCCCAAAAAAAAACATATACTATGATCTAGCAACTTAAAGCTGTACCTAAGAATTTCTGACAAAGAAAAACAATAATTTCACCGAATTACAACGAAAGAATCAATTTGCACTTATTAACTCCAACCATAACATGAATACCAAAGATATGTTCAATTTATCTCTAGTAACCTAATTGTGTCTCCGAATTTATGACAAAGTAACAAAAAAATTCACATATTTATGACGGAAGACTTAATTCCAGATATATTCATGAGATCCAACATTTAATCAAAAGCCTATCATGAGAGATTATCAGAAACCCTAAACCCTAGAGATTATAGACAGATCAATCATTCTATAAATTAAATAAAACCTAAATGATATTAAAATGTTAATAATAAATGAAATACAAAGAATAATTCAAAAATTAATGGCGCGGAAAAGAAAAGGCAAAAAAAATAAAAAAAAAAGGAGATAAGATAATTTACCTTCTCTGTATTCTATTCTATTCTCCTTCTTCTTCTTTCTTCTCTCTGCTTTTGTGGAGCGAATGCGAAAGGTTCAAAGTATTATAGGTTGACAGCTATATATATTTTTGTGGATGTAGGCGATGGATAAGATCGGACGGTTGAGATTATCTATCCGTGTGCTTTCTTGGGAGAATATCGAGGGTTATAAAAGGTGGGTGTTGTGTTTTCTCCAGCTCTTTGGACGGTTGAGATTCTAAGTTAGTGGTTGTTCCCGGATCGAGAGGACTGAATACTTGATTCTTATTGGTTGAAATTGTTAAGTGGTGTTTGATTGGGGTATTTTCTTACTTTACTTTTGCTTTTGGGCGGTTAACTCCACAAACAAGATAATAGGATTAATGTAGTACTCTCTCTGTTCACTTTTACTCGGTATTTTTTGGCTTTTTATGTTCCTTAAGAAATAATAAATAAAATATATAATTTATCATAATATCCATATTAATTGATGTATATTTTATTGGATTTGAGAAAATAATTTGAAATGAGTAATAAATAATGTGTTATAATAAGAAATTTTTTTTGTCTTCTGTTGATATGCGTAAAATGACAAGTAAAAATAAAAATTTATTTTTAGTATACATGTCAAGTAAAAGTGAACGGATGAAATATTTAATATTTTTTCGGTGATAACAGCAAATTAGGGGGAAGGGTATATTTGAGTTGCTTCTTCCCTTCAAATTCATGTTGCCTTAGATAACAGTAATGTTCGGGTCAATTTGTTTATGGACCTCACTATATTCATCGTTTACTGATCACTAGACTATTCTGTAAGATCGTTTGGTTGGGAAATAAGTTATCTCGAGATTAGTTATTCTGAGATTTATTATTACACCCTTCAATAGGGATAAAAAATATTACAATCCTGATATAACTAATCTCTAATCTCAGGATTAGTTATACTCCAATTTTATCTCAACCAAATATGGAATTAACTCATTTCAAATGTTATCTCGGGATTAATTATCCACTATTCTTCATGCCAAACGAGCCCTAAAAGCTATGAATACTACTTCGTTTGAGTTGAATTACATCCACCTTCGCACGGCCAAAAGCTCCGCAACATATTGGAGAGCTTTTAGATCCCGCCTAAAACGCTCATTTTCCTAGAGTTCCGAAGTGATTCTCATTCTCACCGCATAAACTCCTAAGATGATTGTGGTATTGTTTTTAGTGGCATATTGTGAAGCATAGAATTCAAATTCATCATGTTCATATTTTAGTTGTGCCTTGCAACAAGACAACAACATGTATCATTAAAATGGGCGAATTGAATTGTACCCTGCATCATTGAAATGTAATATTCCCAAATGCAATTCCTTCCAGACTCCAGTCAAGTATCTTAGCTACCCATATTATGTTGTACAATAACATCATTTCTATTATCCACCTTATGTGTTGGTATCTCTCTATGACAATGTTTTAGAAGATATACCATTGCACCAGTTAACTCTGTATACATAAAAATAGCTTCCAACTAATTTCTAAAAGAAAACATCTCACTATGTTTCCTATTATCCCTTGAATTTTTGCCTCAAACTAGGTGGGTATCTGTATTGAGTGGTTAGCAAAAGAGAACTTCCAAATCTACAACACTTGAGAAAACCCTGAGACTCATGGACAAGAGCAAAAACTATTTTCTTGCGCCACAAAATTATTAGATAGTCCCCTGTGGCTGTTAAAACACAGAACCTCGCCAGTTTCTCGTTCAATCAAAAAAAAAAATTGGAAGAGAAGTTGCTCAACAAATGATTGAAAAATACTGCCTACTTCTATATTACAGGATGGTATGAACAAATTAGTACAAATTCCTGTAGAAACTAAAACAGAAACCAAAAACCCAAGTAACCCTCTTGTATCCAACAGCGACTGTATCACCAACCAAAAGCTTGCTATCATTCTATCAAAAGATTAAACAATGAAGAAAATCCCCAATTTCTGCACATGAAATGAGAAGATATTGCTGTAAACTAAGTAAACCCATCACCTAAAAGAATGCCTTTTTACTTCCAGCCTGGACTTGGGTTACCAATGTGTCTTTCTTAATCAAAACGCCGACCGGTAAGTTTCAGGTTTCTCTATACCCATTTTGTGGTGCAATCTTTTGTACATCATAAAGGGAGCATAGGTTTCACGTTTCGAATGCACAAATGCTAATCAATTACTATTATTCAAATCGAAAACAATCTGAAACTTGTAGAAGCTTTGCAAGTCGTCTGATAGCTGATTGCACAGTTTCAGAGTTTGGTGAGAATGTATCAGGAAGCTTTGGTAGACAAGCAGGCAAATACTGATCTTCACGTTCCTGCAAGCAAAATAGAGCGAGCACAGCACGGCAGAATATGAATCTGCACAAGAGGAACAAAGCATGTGGTTAATATCCAAGAAGGCTCCTAAGGTGACTTGTAACTGAAGAATTTACTTGATTGGTACAAACAGAAAATGCTTACCTGAGAATAAGCCGTCTCAGAAATGGATCAGAAAGAACTTGAGCCCAAACCAAATCTAGGCTAGTCGATGTACAGAGGTTTACTTCCCACTCTGCAAATGCAGTTGAGATGATGCCATCAGCCTCATCAGCACAATCCTGAAGAGCAAATTACCAAGAAAGTTAGACCGAGTTACAACTGCTCAGTAAAGAAATTTGCGTCACGGTCTACTTACCATATCCTTATCAGAAGAGACAAGGCCAACCAACTGGCAGAAGGCCTGTAAGGGAGCAGCCAAGAACAAGGTGAACTGACTTCCAGATTGTGTTACATCAGTACCTGAATTCTTGAATGATGGCCTCAGGGGAGAGAGAAATAGAGCACTTTTTTCTCCTCTTTCTGCCCCATGTAGAACCTGGAGAGCAATTGGAGATGTATCAGCAACGAAACAGT